AGACAGAAAGAGACACACAGAGAGAGCTCCCATCTTCTGGTTCCTTCCCCAAATGCCAGCAACAGCCATGGCTGCACCAGACCAAAGCCAAGAATTAGGAATGCCATCCAGGTCGCCTGTGTCGGTGGCAGCGCCCTAGTTATGTTGCCATCACCCATTGCCTCCTAGGAAGCCAGAATGGATAGCAGAGCTGGGACTCAAACCTAAGCACGCCAGCATGGGATGTGGGTGTCCCAAGCGGCAGCCCGACTGCTGTACCAAATGTCCACGCTAATCCTTACATTTTGAATGGTTAATAACCTTGACTTTGCCACCTGGCCCACTAAGTATAGAATATGTGTGTGATCTGGCCCTTTAAGAAAAAGTTTGCTGACCCCTGACCAAAGAACTTTCGGCATCCTATTTGGGAGGACACACCTAAAACCCACCCTCCCCTTCCACTCTGGGTTGTACAAGCTGATAAATTCCACTTAGGCCTAAAGTCAGTTAGAGTTAGGCTTTTGTTATTTGTGGATTGAGATGTCCTAACTAATAAAACGCTGTTGTGTTTCTCCGAAGAATTTTACAGAAGAGCTTTAAGGAATAAGTTCTGGAAATGTTTTATTTTGATGCATCAATAATCATGGTAAAAAATTTAATCATGGTCTTTAATAACATGGAACAGGAAGCTGGGAAGAACAGTTATACCGGATGACTAAATCAGGATCTAAAAACGTCTGATAGGCAGGAGCCCTTTGCCAAATGCAACCCTGTGGCATTTAGTAAGAGTGAGTAAAGGGCCAGTGTGGACGGGTACAATCTGCCCTAGCTGTGCACACAGACACCCAGGAGAACGGGCCACGGCAATGCGACCATCAAAACGGCTGCCGTGGCCTGAGGCTGCACCACTTAGGATATCTCCTCTGTGCTCCTTAGAGGCCATGCCTTAGCTCAGTACCGGGTCCCAGCCTTTGTAAGGGGTCCAGGAGGACTGACACTGAATAGGCAGGCCGGCAGAGCTGTGAAACCGTGACCTACTAGGAGCAGCGGAAGGAACTGCAGGAGTTTGTCAATGATGACAGCAGCAGCAACAGCTGACGTGTACTGCATGTACTGCATGTGTGCCTGCAGACCTGCCAAGCACGTCACATAATAGCGCGTGGTCCTCACTGGAACCTCATGCTGGGCGTAGTTATCTGCCACGCCCTCAAATAATCATAGGGATGAGGAAGCCAACGCTTGAGCTTATTCCCTAACCTGCACAGTTCTGCCGTCCTGTTCCTCCAGGCACACCTTCTGTTCTTTCCTCTCCCTGGAATCTGCCACCAAGCCCTAGCAGCTCCTCACTGCAAAGGCTTTTTGAAACGCGTGCCTTCTGCTGCAGCCCCGCTGTCACATACCTCGAAAGATCTAGCCTCCTTACCTGAATCCAGGTCTCCTCCTGTGGTTGCCCAAGCCCCATCCTTGTGTGAGAACCTGTATCAGGTCTGTGCTCAACCCGCAGTTTCAGGCAGTCACTCTCAGTACTTCCCGGTGGAAACCTTTTGTGCCTTTCTCGCGGGCCCCAGGCCATCATCACCCCTGCCCTGGACATAGCACGGGCTCCCCAGGCCCCTCTGCGCCTCCACCCAGGCCGCTCACCTTCCGAGAGTGCTGTTGTCATTCACAAGTTTGGCTTCCTTCGAAGGCCCACGTGTGGTCAACTTCTCCCACTCATTCATCACTTCCTTCTCAGCAGCGGTTCTTGGATCCTGCGGAATTTCACATCTAGCACCCGGCTGGAGATCCTGTTGGACTTTTCTAGGTTAATATTAGGCTCTAAGTTCCTCAAAGATGATTTTAAACCTCACCAAGGTCACACCTTCTGGGCTCTGTAACTCAGCAAAATCCATCGCTGGACAGCTCAGACGTGCTTGTTGACTCAGAGGATGGAGAAGGATAATATTGACAGCTTACCAGGTTCTTCCAAGGTGCCAGTCACTGCACTAAGAGGAGACATTGCTGCCCTTGTTTTAAGATGTGGAAACTAAAGCCAATTAACTTGTCCAAGCTAAGTGCTGGACCCAGGATTTGAAGCCAGGCAGCTGGCGTCCAGAGCCTACAACCTCTGCACCCTGCTGAGAGCCACAACAGTGGCTCATCCCAGCCCCGGGGCCCTTCGTGAACACTGGCAGGTGCACCCAGCACTGCCAAGCTTTTACAAAAAATCAGAAACCTCCCCCCCGTTTTTTCTTTTATAAAAAGGGGTATACATGGATGTGTTTATGGAGGCAACCTCTTCTCTAGCCATGACCCGGGGAGAGTGTCTTGCAGACTTTGGAAGGCACTAAGTTGGAAACTGCCTGCTTTGGCTTCAGCAGTCATTGAGGACAAAATGTGTGTCTTGAAAGGAAGACCATACCTCTGTGGAGAAGTTTGTTCTCACTTCTAGCAGTGGCCGGTATGAGAACACCCTTGGCCTGGCACCCTGTGGAATGGTGTTTTACCTTTTGATGGGGTTCGTCTCCTTCATGTTGGTCTTCGTTGAGAAGGCTCCCTCCCCTTATTCTTTGATTGGTCAGAGAAGTTTGCTACCAGATCTGTGTTTTTGTGGTGTGTAAGAGTAAAGCAGTTATTTCAGATTATTAATGAATTGGGCTTTTTAGGGGGAGGGAGGAGTTGCCTTGGTATTTTATTATAGCAGGAAGTGTTAAAGTCAAGTGTTTTTAAAAGGGCCAAGTTTCGGGTGGCATTCAGCCAAGCAGGTAAGACGCTGGTTGGGACAGCTGCATCCCACATTGGGTTCCTAAGTTTGATTGATGGCTCTGACTCTTGACTCCACCTTCTGGTGAATGCAGACCCTGGGAGGCTCTGGTGATGACTCAAGTAATTGGGTTCCTGGATGGTGTTCCAGCCCCAGGCTTCAGCACAGCCCAGTGTCTGCCGTTGAAGGCATTTGGAGAATGAACCAGCAGATGAGAGCTCTGTTTGCCTCTCGAATGAATAGATAAACAAAATTTTTTCAAAAGCCTGTTTATAGAAAAAAGTAATATTTGGAAAAGCTAAGCCTCAGGGCCCTGGTGGAGTGCTGACCATTTCACTGGGGAATCTCACTACTCGGGGAATCGAAGCACTGGATGTTCGCGGTCACAGGTGACCAGGACCTCGTGTGTGTGCATCCTTTGTGATGTCTAAAGCAAATATATTTGATGGCCATCAGAAATTTTGTTGTTGCCAGCGCTGAGGCATAGCAGGTAAAGCCACTGCCTACAGTGCCAGCTTCCCACGTGGGTGCCGGTTTGAGTCCCAGCTGCTCCACTTCCCATCCAGCTCTGCTATGGCCTGGGAAAGCAATAGAAGATAGCCCAAGTCCTTGGATCCCTGCACCCACATGGGAGACCCAGAAGAAGCTCCTGGCTCCTGGCTTTGGATCGCCCCAAGCTCTGTCCATTGCAGCCATCTGAGGAGTGAATCAGTGGATGGAAGACCTCTTTCTCTCTCTCTCTCTCTCTCTCTCTCTCTCTGCTTTTCCTTCTCTCTTTGTAACTCTTTCAAATAAATAAATAAATCTTTTAAAAAAATAAAAGAAATTTTGTTGTACAACCTGCACTCTCATGCTCTGTGGTTTTAAACTTTTATTTACTTTTGAAAAGTTTATTTGAAAGGCAGAGCAAGAGATGGACAGACAAATATGTCCCATCCACTGGTTCACTCCTCAGATGCCCGCACCTGCTGAGCTAGGCCAAGCTGAAACCAGGAGCCAGTAACTCAATCTGAGTGTCCCATGTGGGCGGCTGCCGTCACCTACTGTCTCCCGGCATGTGCATTAACAGGAAGCTAGGACTCAAACCCAGGCGTCTGATAACTGGATGCAGGCGTCTTAACCACCATGCCAAATGTCTGTCCTGCTCTGTATTTTTACCTTGGAATTTTGCTTGGATACTTAAAAATAAGAAAGCACCTTTTTAACTGTCAGCTCTAGCTAAAGGAAGGTTGTGTCCTGCAGACACAGACAGTCCCTATACTCAATGTGACTTGAAACAGGCCTGAGAACATAACCCTGCTTTGACTGGCCAGTGGTTTATTTGGGACACAGCATACTTGTCATCTGGGGGTCACTTGAATATACCTTTAATTTTTAGCATTTGAAATATTTCTAAGAAAATATTTTCAGAGAATATAAATCTATTTTAAAATAGAATTGACATACAGTGGTGTAGTCAGTGGAAAGAGCAGTCAGCTGAGAATTAATGAGACCTGGGCTCCAGGTCCGACCCTGCTGTGTGACCTGGGGCACATCGGAGCCAGTCTGCGACCTGTTCTCCATTGAGAGGGAGGCAGACAGGTCTCTCCCAGCTTTGGCAGGCCAGACTTCTTGAGTCAACTTTGCTTGAGTCCTTTCTCATTGAAACAGTGCCCCCTTGTGGTATAGACCCTTAATTGATTTTTAAAAATTATTTGCAAAGTAAACATTGGATGTATTCTTTGGTTTTCTATTAATTATATTTCGTATTGTTAAGCCAATATGACTTGCTTTTTTAGCGATTAATCTTATAAATCACAGATTCATGCTGGTGCTGTGGCAGAGCAGGTAAAGCTGCCACCTGCAGTGCTGGCATCCCATGTGGGTGATGGTTCGAGTCCCAGCTGCTCCACTTCCTATCCAGCTCTCTGCTATGGCCTGGGAAAGCAGTGAAAGATGGCCCAAGTCCTTGGGGTCCCTGCACCCATGTGGGAGACCTGAAGACGCTCCAGGCTCCTGGCTTCGGATTGGCACAGTTTTGGACTTTGTGGCCATTTAGGGAGTAAACCAGCAGATTGGTAGATTGAAGATATTCTCTTTCTCTCTCTTTCAAGTAAATAAATAAATCTTTAAGAAAGAAATCACAGGTTGATGGAATCAGGATATAGTGCGCAGATCCCATCTTCTAAAGTGTGCTCTGTGGTTCCTTCAGGAGCTGTAGCGAGCACACGCCCGTCACTTCCAGCAATGACGACGCTTCCGTTTTTGCGCTGAGTGTTTTCTGCATTCCTCCTCCTAGGGCCCAGGGGAAGAGGTGTGTGACGACTTCATCGTGCCTTGGCAGCTGGGACCTGGGCGGGTCAGAAACCAAAGCAGGTGAGGTGCTAGCGTTCTCAGGGGTCCTCGGCACTCCTCCACACCTCACCCCCTTCCGTAGGAAACACACCCGCGCGCAAGGTGTCTGCGCCGGGCTCTCGGTGTGACTAACAGCAGTCTTGCCATCCCTACCATCAGCCAGCTGCGATGCCTCTAACACCTGTGGATGACAGGCCACGAGGATTCTATAGGGATGTTGTAAAAGCAGAGCTGCCACATTAGACATCTGCATCAGTCTCGGGTCCACACCTTGAGGTCACAATTCAGTGCTCACTTAAATGAGACTATACTTACTATGGTGAGGCAGTCCACTGGGGTTCTCCTCTGGGAGGACATCATCCCCAGGCTGGAAATAATGCAGAACGTATTCATGCGGTGGAATAAAGCAGTTAGAAACCTGAGCAGTGTACACTGACGATATTGAGGGAAAGGAGCAGGGACCTAAAACTAGAAGAAAAAAATAAGTTATACAAACAGCGTCCTACATTGTGTATATACTTCTCTGGGCAGTAGACACATAAAGGCAAGTATGATAACAGTTACCGCGTGGGTCAGAAGGCTGGTAACATTTTTGCTTTTTTAAAATAAGAGAAAAGATAGAAATACGGCAAGCTGTTCATATTCAACCCAACCAGCTGTGAGTACACAGGGGCTTGCTGTGAGCTTTGATGACCCAGGACTAATACTAGGTTAAAAAGTACTACCTTAAAAATAATTTCTTATCAAGAAAAGGATTTCTGTGGCCTGTGGGGATTTCTGTAGTACCCAAGACCATCTTAAATATTTCCGACTCATCTCCGAGCCGGCAGTTGTTGCTAAGGATTTTATACTTCCGTGCTAAAAAGCGTGAGCCAGTCCTAACACGGTGTCAGGTTTGTGTGTCCAGAGCTGAGAGCTGTGGTTAACAGCTGTAACCACTGAGACAGCAAAATCTACAAAAACATGCTGAAATGGTCGCTCGACTTCCCCAATTTCCTGTCGAATCATAATTTTTATATTTAGCAAACAGTGGACCTAGACGAAAGTGCTTTCTGAGATATTAGATGTTTCCCCAGCTCCGAGACAAACTTGATGGTGGTGTGCGTGCGTATCCTCAATGGCACTCACAATTCCAGGCCTCAGTTTCTGCATTAACTTGGGGACAGCAGATAAATCGGGGGGTGGGAGGTCTGTGGGAGTGGGAGACTCTCCGACCACAGGGTCTGGCTAACTTTCCATCCAGAAGAAACAAGTCTTAGAGATTTGAGCAGGACCCTGGAGGGCGCAAGGAACTGTTCTGTGAGTTCTGGCCCACCTCTGTAATTCAGCTTCCTTGGGGTGAGCAAAGCTATTGATTTCACTTCTCCGATTTTTTAATAGAAATATTATATTAACAATCATGTTGCATGGAAGGTAAAAAATGCTGACTTGAACTTTTCAGTCTTAAAGTCTGTATTTCTGGTAAACTGAGGTGCATCATAAATATGCGTTCATTAAATTGATTATCTGTCTGACTTATCATCTGCTGGTCTTTCACTTGATAAGTGCTGGTTTTCTTCATGTACTTTGGACTTTGACTGGGTTAATTACCTGGGAATATCAGCGCCTCTGTTTTCTACTGCTGGAATACTGAGCTCACTTCGAGACTTCTGTATCTGTAATTTACTGAAGTTAAAGCAGACTCATCAAAGTTACAATCCCGAGGGTTGAGGTGGTGAATCCACATGCCTTTGTCTGCGGTTCTAAAAACCCCCAAAGCTGGAAAGTTGAAACACTCTTGAAGCTCATCTGGTGGCAGTACCTGACACAGGCCGATGGGAAGCCAGGTCCAAGGGAACTTCCACAAGTTCATAGAAAACTGGAATGAAAAGATAGGTTCATTTGGGTACCAAAAAATACTGAAATCCATGCATTTTTTTTCCTAATACACATTTTCCATCAACTTTCGGACGATCCCTCATAAAGTCTTTGTTCCATCAGTATAAATAGTCAGTTTGCTGCAGGGGGCTGCCCCGAAGACCCTGCCGAAGTGGTGGGTCACACACCACGGTGCCCTTCTCAAGTCAAAATGTTTCTGATCCGGCCCCAAGGGCTTTCAGATAAGCGGCTGTGGGCCTGACCCCATGTGGACTGGCTTTTGTTCTCAAGACAATTCAACTTTGTATTTTATGATGAAATCTTGCTTATGGGCCAGACAGATCCTGTGAAATCTCACTATTAAGACACAGCGCCTTGGCCTTCGCTGTTTAATTACAGCTTTGTGGCCAGCCCCTCCCTGGACGCCCGGCGTGCGCCGTCCCCTCCCCTCTCAGCACCGGCCCCTCTCAGCATGAGGAAGGTTTGGTAAAGAGGCCCTCTGTGGCACACGTGTGTGCTAGGGGCTAGGTGCCCATCCAGCTTCCCTGCCTCTCATGGGAGCCATCAGCACGGTCTGCTCCGAAGATTGCTCATTTGACGGCTTGAGGATTCATTTCTGCCGTCTCTGGATTCAGGTGAATCCAGGAACATATGCTGTTCTGGATTGCCCATGGATTTCTCTGCTTTTTAAACAGATAATTCAGAAGGGACTTTATTAAACTTCTTATTGCTGAGAATTTAACTTTAACTGTATTAAGAAAATACTAGATGGGGTGAGAGGGAGGTTATAGTGGTCTAGTGGGTTAGGCCCCTGCTTGGGGTGCCTGCATCGGTTCAAATCCTGGCTGTTCCACTTTTTTTTTTTTTTTTTTTTTAAGATTTTTTTTTTTATTAATTTGAAAGAGTTACAGACAGAGGTAGAGACAGACAGAGAGAAACAGAGGTCTTACATCTTCTGGCTCTCTCCCCAAATGGCTGTGATGGCCAGAGCTGGGCTCTGATGGCCAGGAGCCAGGAGCTTCTTCTGGATCTCCCACATGGGTGCAGGGGCCCAAGGACTTGGGCCATCTTCTGCTGCTTGCCCAAGCACATTAGCAAGGAGTTGGATTGGAAGTGGAGCAGCCAGGTCTTGAACTGGTGCACATATGGGATGCCAGAGCAGCAGGCTGGGGCTTTAACCTGCTGCACCACAGCACCGGCCCTATGGCTGTTCCACTTCTAATCCAGCTTCCTGTTAATGCATCCTGGGAGGCATCAGATGATGGCCCAAGCACTTGGGCCCCTGAAAATCATGAGAGAGACCTGGATAGGGTTCAAGACTCCTGGCTTCAGCCTGTCCACCAGGTTGGAAAATCTCCCTCCCCCTGACCACTTGCTTTCCCTTTCAAGTATAAGAAAACATACAAATGAACAGTAAAAAATTAAGTACTAATATTGATATTTCCTAAGAAACATACATTGAATATTTGTTGTATATTCTTTTCTCTTCAAAAGTAACTCACCTGCTTTGGACAGCTTGGAAGGGCACATAAAAGAAATTGATAACCCATAATCCCAGCACTCAGAGGTGACTATTGTTGCCTCATTTCACAAAGGCGAGGCGAAGCACCTTGCCCAAAGCCAACCAGCTAGCAGGTGGCCCAGCTGAGGTCTACACCCACACAGTGACTCCAAACCTGCACCTCTGTGAAAGGCAGAGTGACAGAGAAATGGAAAGAGAGGGAGGGAGAGAGAGACAGAGAGAGATATCTTCCATCCACTGGTCCACTCCTCAAATAGCTGCAATAGCTATGGCTTGACCAGGAGCCTGGAATTCCATCTAGGGCTCCCACGTGGGTGGCAGGAGCCAAAGCACTTGGGCCATCTTCTGCTGCCTTCCCAGGGATCTGGATCAGTGTCACTTGGCATGAATGACCCCAGCCCAGTAATCACGTGTGGACGTTTTATTTCCTAAAAGAAAAAAGTCCTTCTAGGTCTTCTGTTTAGAAAATTTTTCCCAAGGCATTTCTAAATCCTTCTTTACCTATTTGTAGTTTTCTGTTCTGTTTTCCAGAGGGATAAGTTTAGGTAAAAATAGTAATAATAATAATAGTAATAGTAATAAACTCCAAACTGTGTGCCTTCCTGGCCGTCATCAACATTTGCAGATCTCAGCGCTTTGAGCAGCACCCCAAGCTCACTTTCAGGTTTGGGCTTCTTGCATGATCTCTGAGTTCCGCTGGGGGTGGCTTGATGGGCAGACCTGCAGCCACAGTTGGAGTTTGTCGGGTACAGGGGTGAGGGATGGTGGCACCACGTGGTTATCAAGTCAACCGCGCTCTGTTACAGCTCCTTCTCACGGCCCTTCCTCCTCCTGTGGATTTCTTTCTTTTGCAGTCTCAAAAGGCAACTTGCGAGAGAAGGACGCCGAAAAAGCAGCAGACGAAGTCTTTTGGAATACAAGGATCATACCGCTTTTGCATGAATTAGAAAAGGGTAAAGAAAAAGTTCTTGTTTTAAATCAAAAATACCCATAGTTATTTATATGTCCCCTTCCTTGCCCTGATATTTTTAGTACACTTTGCCTGTCATTTCTCTGACCGTGTTCAAAAACAACTGACATCATCTATTTGTATTCAACATTATGTATAACCCGAATTTTTAGTGAGCAAAATCCCACTTTAAATGCTCCAGGAGAGCCCACTTCTAAAATTCCCCTCATGATACAAGCTAATTCCCACCTCCTCTGCTTGTGGAGGTGTTGGTTTAACCTCTCCAGGACGGCCGTTCCTACTCAACACGGTGGAAGCCACAGGCCTTGAAGCCGAGTCTCCTGGACCGGCACCTTGCACAGTTGAAATCCTGCTCTCCTAAGGTTGGGTCCAGCTGTTGGCGATGCCACCCCCAGCACAGGAAGTGGCCTAGGACATGCCCTGCCCTGGCGCTGGCAGCGAGGGCCGACCATTGTCCAGTTCTGCAGGACTGGGGAAAGCTGTTGGGATGGCCTGCTGCTCTCTCCCCACTCGACAGCTCCCCTGGCATTCTTTTGCTGAAGTCAAACCAGCCTCTTCTGGGGCTGCAGCCATAGCTTCAGGGCCAAGGTCAGTGCCAGGCACTCAGCACACTGCAGACCCTCAGTAAGAATTGTCCAGTGACTGCCCCACGGATGAGCAGACCGGCATGGTAGCCAGAGGAGCACTCTTCGAGAAGTGGGGGAATGAGGCCCTCCCAGCCACCCAACAGGAAGTGGTGCAGAAGACCCACTGCCTAAAGCGTTCAAATGACGTCACCCTTCCTTGTCTCCGCATTGCTGCTTGGCTGTGCTTGTGGTTCACGTGGGAGCCCTGAGCAGGGTTTCTGGTCCTGGTGCTGCTGTCCTCTGGGAATGTGGCCCTGGGGAGTCACCAAACCGTGCAAGTCAGACGGGTGCAATGACCAGATCGTCTCCTAAGCCCCCTGCAGCTCAGAATCCCAGGAGTATGCAGTTGCTCCTCTGTGATTGCTAACCTCCATCCTTATAGTAATGTGCAGGGTAACACGGGCCCTTGCTTCCAGGAGGGCTGTGCAAAAGCCACTGAGGCGGACGTGGGGTCTGGCTGAGCTTCAGAAGGAAAGCCATTAGGAAAACGTCCATGGACACTGGGAGTCAGGACGACAAAGTTCTCATTGGGAGGACACCTTCAGCCTGAAGGATTTTTAAGCGTGGGCGGGGGACTCCGCTCACCCTGGAGCCCAGCAGAGAGAATCAAGGACCCCAAAAGAGGGGTGTGGGATTTGAGATAGGATGAATCTCCTTTCTCAGAAGGATTATTCAACACTGAAACATGGACTCTCTCTCCCTCAAGTATTTCAAGCACAACAAATAGTGATAGGGTTCCTTGAGCCTTTGAAATTCTTTTTAAAAACCTTTTATTTTGACATAACTTCAGACTTACAGAGAAGTTGAAAATCCCATATGTTCTTTGTCCAAATTCCCTTAATATTAATATTTTATTATATTTGCCTTGTCATTATCTCCCTCCACATCTCTGTCCTTCTCTCTCTACTCCTGCCCTGCACACACACACACACACACACGCACACTTCTTTCTTTTTTGAGAGCAAGTTGCCAATGTATGCTGTCCAATATCCCTAAATACTTTGTCACATATTTTTAGAAACAAGGATGTTCTTCTCATGTATCTGGAAATTATCACACAGTACCATACAAATCCTACTCAGATCTTGTCAATTGTCCCTGTAATTTTCCCTATAAAAAAAGAAAATCCGGAATCTCCCATTTACATCCGCTGCTGGTCATGCTCTCAGGCTGATAAACTGCCCCACAGGTTGGGTGTGTCGGGGGATTCCTCACAGTGGGGTCCAGGTTAGGCACAGGGACAGACACACCACCAGTGCTGTGCTCTTGGCAGCGCTTTGTGTCAGGAGGCACCCAGCAGGCTGATTGGTTCTGTGACTGGTGACACGAACCTCGCTCATCTGCCTAAGGTGCCACCTGCCAGGTTTATCCTCTGTTAAGTTGCTCTGAGGTGATGCTGCTCACCCAGCTGTGTCAGCCCCTGCAGCATCCTCCTTGCTCTTGAACTCAAGTGGTCTCTCGAGGCTGTGTGGAATTCATGATAAACTGATCGGTACAAGGGGTTAACGTGAGTGATGGTTTAAAAGTTCACCCTTGAGACTTCCTGTCCAGCTCCTTTATAAGCTAACACAATCACTCTGGAGGAGAACTTAGCAGGCTGAAGAGTTTGTGAAGGAAAAGTGCCGGAAACATACCTGGATGACCACCCCTGCCCCTGAGCGACCCGGGGCCTGGATTTAGGGCTGAGGAAGAAGCCCACCAGTCACAGAAGAAGAAAAAAAAACAAACCCAAGTGCTCCGTACAATAGCGTTCAAGTCGGTCCCTTTATTTACAGTTAGTCTAAGTCATTTCCCACCAATTCCTTTATTTAAGTGCATGACTGAAAGGCATTGAAGGTTCCTTAGCTATTGAGGTTAAATGGTTTTTCTTAGATGTTATTGTTGAAAAGAGCTAAAAATGGCCCGAGTCGTTTCCTTCTGCAGGCACACGCTTCCTCGACGTGGCCTTCCAAGAGCACATTATGGTATTTATTTAAGATTGCTTTCCGACTTTTACATTTTGTGATGGGATCTTTTGGAGAGGATGTTTCAGCACACCTGGTTTCTCTCAGTCCCCTGTCACATTCCATTGGCCCCTGCTGCTTTTCTCCCTTGTATGCCTATTAGCAGGGCTCTCTCTTTCAACAATTCCTTTCTCAGAGTCACAATTACAAAATAAGATGTTCCGGGCCGGCGCCGTGGCTCACTAGGCTAATCCTCCGCCTAGCGGCGCTGGCACACCGGGTTCTAGTCCCGGTCGGGGCGCCGGATTCTGTCCCGGTTGCCCCTCTTCCAGGCCAGCCCTCTGCTGTGGCCAGAGAGTGCAGTGGAGGATGGCCCAGGTGCTTGGGCCCTGCACCCCATGGGAGACCAGGAAAAGCACCTGGCTCCTGGCTCCTGCCATCGGATCAGCGCGGTGCGCCGGCCGCAGCACGCCGGCCGCGGCGGCCATTGGAGGGTGAACCAACGGCAAAAAGGAAGACCTTTCTCTCTGTCTCTCTCTCTCTCACTGTCCACTCTGCCTGTCAAAAAAAAAAAAAAAAAAAAAAAAGATGTTCCATGCCCCCTCCCCCCTTTTCCTAATTCAAACCTTTTTATTCTCGTTTCTAATAACCACCTCTAAACAGCGGTGCATTTGGGGGCATTGTGAGTTTTCGTACTGGAGCCCTGTTTTCTATTGTCGCCGAAGACTATTGATCATTGTTCTCATCAACAGCTGTATTAAGTTGATGCCGTGGACCTATGTGACAGGCTGTGCAGTATTCACACTGTACACGCGCTGTTGACACAGTGTAAGATGCGGCTCCTCCTCAGCTCCGCATGGCTTCCATCTGAGGGTACCGGGCATAGAACACAACACACACATGCCTGCATGAAACCCAAATGCGAGGCAACGTTGGCTGCATGTGCAGTAGTGCAGCCCGAAGGCCCAGCACTGGCAGGAACAAGAGAAGGAGGACATTCCCGAGCTTGGAACTGTGCCAGAAAGAGTTGAGGGTGGAGCCAGCAGGTTGTTTGCTTCCAGGAGACCCAGTAGAGCACAGGGCGAGGTAGAGGACAATCGGACTAAAGGAGATCAACTGAAGTGAAGTCGGTGTCGTTTCAATCTTTAACGGTCCCTTAGAAAGGCCGTCTATTCTAGATAAGCCAGCTGATTGATTGCGCCCTAAGTCATCCTGGTAGGAGATGGATCAAAGAAATGGGGGGATAAGCCAGAGATAGATGGAGGTGGTGAGGGGAGAGGATAACACAGTTCAGGAACCTGAAGATGTCTGGGGTGATCATGGGGTTTTTACTGCATGGCAGTGTCTGTGTCTAGGGTGCCTGCAAACTTGACCTTGATTAGTAAGTGTTGCCTTACTCTCTTTGCTCTGACAGAAGAAAACATTGAAACCATCTGTGCTGCTTGCACACAACTGCATCATGCGTTAGAGGAAGGAAACCTGCTTGGAAATAAATTTAAGAGAAGAAGCATTCTCCTGAAGACCCTATATAAACTAGTTGACGTTGATTCGGACTTGCTCAGCCTTAAACTTGCCAAAATTATTCTAGCAGTAAGTGTTGCTTTCCTCTGGTCTCGTAGACTGTGGCACATTCAAGCTTGGTTTAATTGCTCTATTTGTAAATAGTGCAAGGGATCCGGTGCCGTGGCTCAACAGGCTAATCCTCCGCCTAGCGGCACCGGCACACCGGGTTCTAGTCCTGGTCGGGGCACCAGATTCTGTCCCAGTTGCCCCTCTTCCAGGCCAGCTCTCTGCTATGGCTCAGGAGGCAGTGGAGGATGGCCCAAGTGCTTGGGCCCCACACCCCATGGGAGACCAGGAGAAGCACCTGGCTCCTGCCTTCGGATCAGCGCAGTGCGCTGGCCACAGCGTGCCGGCCGCGGCGGCCATTGGAGAGTGAACCAATGGCAAAAGGAAGACCTTTCTCTCTGTCTCTCTCTCTTTCTCTCTCACTGTCCACTCTGTCAAAAAAAAAAAAAATAGTGCAAAGGAGATTAGAGGTGCAGAACATTGTTTAGAATCTTGCAAAAAAAAAAAAAAAATAAGGTAATGAACTGGCATCCCAGAATGTGACTGGAAAGTATCACCTAAGGAGCTTAAGGTTGAGTACTTAGAAAGTATTCAGATAAACGCTGACATCTGGGCTGAACTGAGCAGTTGCTCAAGTAGCTAACTGAAGATCGGTGTCACATGGCACAGGCTCTGGCTTCTGCCCTATAATATCTGCTGGAGACTCGATGCTGTCACATGATTTAATAAATAACCTAATGTAATTTGGGCCAAAAGACACAATGGCCAGGTGCTTTATGAACCAGTGTGAAAGAAGGAAAAAAAAAAAAAACAATAGCTGTGTGAGGTCAAGGAAGACTCGGGCCCTCCACCAGGAGAGTCTGCTGACACCGTTTCCAACAGAACAGCACCATTGTCTCAGGGGAGCACCTTGTTGTCACAGCCACCAACAGTTGGGAGCAAAAGATAAGCCACACTGATTACAGAGGTTCTAAGAGAGCCGCTGGCCAATGTTTACCTGGTTTCCAAAGAGTACAAGCTTTGTGTTGACACCCTGGAATCGCTGGTGATAGTTTAGGAAGGGGGTCCGCTGAGGATGAAGCCCCTCACAGCCTCTGAGCCCATACTCCGTGCCATCTAGGGGCCAGGCCGCGTTCTGATTCAGCCATTGTCCTGAACATCCACTCTGAACGCAGTCTGCCTTTTGGGATTTCATTCTGTCTCACTCCCCAGCTCTGCTGGTGCAGCTGCCCTGGGCAGGACCCAGGCTGCTGGCTGCCCACGGATTGCCTTTGCTTTTTCATCCGGATCCCAGGTAGTTCGTTCCATGCCAAGCCCACAAAAGGAAGAGTGCAGGCCAGCCAGCCAGCCAGCCTGCCGGCCCTGAATTTATCAACACTTGGCAGAGAAAATGCTATCTTGGTTATAAATGGTGTCATTCAAATTAATTCTATACGTGGCACAATGTAACTATTTTAGGGCAAAAGGCTAAGTGACGTGCCAGGCAGTGAACACGTTCTGACCCATGTGTGTGATTAGATACAGGCTTGTCCGTGACATTGACTGCCTTGCTGGGTCCCAGGGCAAGGCTCTCCAGGGGAAACTCCAGCGAGCAGGTTAGAGCAGGGTGTGCTAAGCAGCCCCAAGGTCACAAGCAGCTCAAGAAGCTTCCAAGACAGTTTCCAGGCAAGACCCTTGTTTAGGTGAGGCCTTGGTTTACAAACCAAGAGAACCCTTCAAGAACCAGCCAGAAGTGCAGGTGCCCGGACTGAGCAGTGTTAACAAGTTGTCTTCCTTCTGCTCCTACGCCTTTCCTCTACTAATGCACTATTGTAATGCCGGCATTTAGAGAAACAGCACCTGTCCTGTTAGCTGTTCTCATTTCTTTGAGTAAATTGGGAGCTTGCCAGGCAGCTGTTGTAATTTTAACCTTTGTATCAAAAAGTCTGGTGAAAATATACAATCTATGTTAACAATTATTTTTTGAAGGCTTCAAACATACATACATACATACATACACACACACACACGCACACACACAAATGCGCGTGCACGCAGTATGAATGCAACAAGATTCAGTAGGGAAAACCAAATCTAGCCCCTGTCTACGAGAAAAAAGAAAAGAGAAAAGCAGCAGCAGTGTGCCCAGCATGACTGTGTGAGTATAGGGCGATAGTTAACTCCTCATGCTTTCCTTTAATTTGCCAAATTTGCTGTAAGAAGAATAAACAACTGCTTTTCACGTGAAGAAGAAAACCACACCAGCTTGAGAACATACTTTGTGCCAGGGATTCCTCCTGGAACCCAGGGTTGCAGGCAAATAAAGTAGCTCCTGCTCCCCACATGCCCCTCATGGGGTCCAGCCCTGTCACATTAATGCAGCAAGTGACAGAGGGGTCCTGAGCCCCGAGGAAAGAAGGGAGGGGGTGGGGGGTGGGGAGCGAGCCCCTGTTTGTAAGGTAGTCTGAAGTCAGTACAGATACTACAGATAGAGTGATCAGTGCAGGGCTCGGAGGGAGTTGCTTTGAATGGAAACTGGGCATCTAGCAAGCCTGAAAACCATGGATGCCATCCTGATCCTTTGCTCTCTTTCTTTTCCTTAAAATCTTGATGAGAACGCTGCCCCTAGACTTATTTCTTTCCTTTGCCATTGTCCACTAAAAGTGTAAGACTTGGGTAGAGAGAGGGGTCGGCAGGAGGAGGTGGGCAGTGAGTCGTCTCTTTCATTCATTCAACAAGTTGCAGTAAGTGTAGACTGCACGCTGCACAGCCCATGTGCAAAGACATAGTAAGTCATGAATTAGCCCTCAAGCACTCGCAGCCCAGGGGAAGACAGGGAACTGGTTCCCACACCTCCCTGCATCTTAAGGACAACACATCTTATATTTCCACTGACATGCATGTCTTCTGTTTTCTTAAGTCAGTGTTACATTTTTTTTTTTAAAGTTCACCTTCCCGTTTTCCACCTGAGAACAGAGGGGTTCTCCGTGCTACCAGGCTACAGTTTCTGAGGCTTCTGCAGCTGGGAGTCTCGTGAAAATGCAGTTTCTGGTTCAGTAGGGCTGAGGGGTGGCCTGGGATTCTGCATTCCTAATGCAGGCCTGGGTGATGCCAGGATGGCTCCCCAGCCCATCCCAGGAGCAGATGCCTCTGTTGCAAAATGGAAATGGCAATGTCTGATCCCCAGGCTTGTTCTGGGATCGCTTAGGCAGAGGGCTCAGGGCCCGAGAGCTGTGCTCCCCTTCCTCTGCCCACCAGCCTGGGACTTCCACCTTGGGACCTTTGCCAGCCACCAGCCAGGTGCCTGCCACACAGCAGGTGCTCAGACTGAACCTTTAACAGATACCCAACCAACTCTAGTATTGTTTTTAAAAGCAATCTGAAAGCTTTTAATTAATAAACAGTATTAAAGATAGTTTTAAAGATGGTTTTTTAATCACATACAAAAAATGGCCCATTTGCCATTCTTTTCCCACAGGAATTGTTCAGTTGGCCTCATTCCCAAAAACAGTTTTACATTGGGCCGGTGCCATGCCTCACTTGGTTAATCCTCCACCTGCAGCACCGGCATCCCATGTGGGCGCCAGGTTCTAGTCCCACTTGCTCCTCTTCCAGGCCAGCTCTCTGCTGTGGCCCGGGAGTGCAGTGGAGGATCGCCCAAGTGCTTGGGCTCCTGCAGCTGCATGGGAGACCAGGAGGAAGCACCTGGCTCCTGGCTTCGGATCAGCATAGCTCTGGCTGTTGAAGACATTTGGGGAGTGAACCAACAGAAGGAAGACCTTTCTCTCTGTCTCTCTCAAATGGTCTAACTCTATCTGTAAATAATAATAAAAAAAAAAGTTTTCCATTTTTAAACATAGTATTCACATTTATGCTTTTTTTGTGACTACTTAGTATGAACAGTATCATATTATACAATTAAACTTTTTTCTAATATTGGCTGCTTAGGAGTTTTAAATAATTATCTTTATCTTTTTTAGATAAATTCATAGCTAGCTTACACCATCTGAGGCAGTCATCCCTCACTGCTTTTTCATGGTTAAAAAAAAAGTCTGTTTCCTCACTGCCTCTGTGCTTAAATTACTTAGTAAGCTACTTAGTTTTGTGTGGTTTAGAAGGTAATTTTCAACTTTGAACATTACTTGTGATTATCTCAGAGTGTTCCAGAAATAGCCTTAAAAGCAAATATATATGTGTGTTATCTAATCAAGCAGAATTAGTTTATTTTGCACAGTGATAAAGAGGATCCAACCTTTTCCTTTCCTTCCCTGCCTTCCACTGTGTGGTCTCGTCTGAATTGGTTGAATCTGAAATTTTTGGTTCCCTGTCTTCCTTCACTCCTGTGTTTTAAAGCAGTCCCTCCATTTCATTCAGCTTGCTCACCTCGGCCTGCCCCACCCCTTCTTCCTCATACACTCTTGAAAAAGTTACTGATAACTTCACAGGTTTATACAAGACACTGTAAAGTCAGAAATAAGTGATTGTCACCAAACTATCCTTATTCTAAAAATAGTTTATATTGCATTTAGTGTAACTGAGTTAATTGAATTCCATAGTTGGCAAATTTATGCCCCCCCCTTTTTTTTTGACAGGCAGAGTGGACAGTGAGAGAGAGAGACAGAGAGAAAGGTCTTCCTTTGCCGTTGGTTCACCCTCCAATGGCTATCGCAGCCGGCACGCTGCGGCCAGCGCACCGCATTGATCCGAAGGCAGGAGCCAGGTGCTTCTCCTGGTCTCCCATGGTGTGCAGGGTCCAAGCACTTGGGCCATCCTCCACTGCCTTTCCAGGCCACAGCAGAGAGCTGGCCTGGAAGAGGGGCAACCGGGACAGAATCCGGCGCCCCGACCGGGACTAGAACCCCATGTGCCGGCGCCACAAGGCGGAGGATTAGCCTAGTGAGCCACGGCACTGGCCACCCTTTTCTAAAGTTGATTTCTTTAGAACTTTTCTTTGTGCTTAAAAATATCATCCTCTGCTTTTAAAATAGATGTTTGTGTTAAACCAAAACAATGCCCTGACTTTATTTCCCTCTGCAATGGGAATATTTTTTGTCTCTCTGCAGCTTAAAGTGAGTAGAAAGAATCTCCTTAACGCCTGCAAACTTATATTTAAAATTAGCAGGAATGAGAAGAACGATTCTCTGATTCAGAGTGACAGCATTCTGGGTGAGTATCATTGAGTGCCTCCCAAGTTTGGAGAGAAACGTCACAATGAATGATGGTGGGAATGGAGTCTTTTTTTTTTCCTAACAAAATGCAGAAGTTATGTGATGCTTATCTTTGCTTTGTCCTTCTCTGTGTTTTCCACGTTCTGTTTAATACATCCTTTGGGGCCTGGGGTGATAGTCAGCTTTAAAAGTAACAATGGCCTATAGTAACAGTAGGTGACTTTATTAAGTGCTATTTAAAAATTCATTTCCTGGACTTGGATGTACTTTTCAAAAAAAACACACTTGGGCAGGGTGATGGGTGTAGCAGTTAAGACACCATTTGGAATGCCCACATCTCCTGTATATTGGAGTGCCTGGTCTGAGTCCCAACCCCACTTCCAATTCCGGCTTCCTATTTTATTTTATTTTATTTTATTTTATTTTTTTTATCTAAAAGCAAGATTGATTAAAGACCTCCAGCCAGAGTGGCATGGAGAGGGGCTTCCAAGAGAAGAAAAAAGCCGAAGTAGTCCGTGGCAGTTTTTAAGCACAGTCTTGATTGACATTCAGTTATAAGGCAGGGACAAAATCCATCCAAAGACCTGATTTGCCACCCTTTATCCTGTCTGGCTTGTTCTGATAAACAAAGCGCCATCACAAGGGTGGGATTCCTAACTTGTTTACAGCAATCTGTGAGCTCAGGAGGATGGAAGCGCCACTTCCTTGCTATTCTTTTTTTCTTTTTCTTTTTTTTCACTGAAAAATTATTTTATTTACATGAGCATTTTACAGTCAACTGATTAATTTAAACTGAAACATGATGAAATGAATGTTTACAGCTCTCATCATTGGTAAACCCCAATACATTTAAGTTAATATGTGATCATGTAAAATTATCTTGCCTTTTCTAATTTACTCCAGCAAATTTTACTCCAAAGCCATCAAATATATTTTTAAACATAGTATCAAAATTATGACTTAAAGGCAAGAAATGGCATTGGACTAGAAGAGTACTTTCTTATTTACATGTTCCTAATCCCATCTTTTCCTGTCATCGCTATTACACAGATGTGTTTTAGCTAAAATCAACTTCTCTCTTTGTCCTATGTGAATAATCCTTCATCACCACTCGAACGGAGGCTTTGGCAAACATATTTTACAAGCTGTATGTGATGTTCATGTACCAGTGCCTCAGTATTTCCCCAGCTGCCGCACATTGGCGATCGTTCGTCTCTCTGGCAGAGTCTCTCCTGGAGGTGCTGAGGAGTGAGGACCTGCAGACCAACACTGAAGCTTTCTTATACTGCACGGGAGCTATAAAATTTCTTTCCGGAAATCCAAGTTTCCTCAGTGAAATGATCAGCAGAGGCGTTGTGGAAATACTGATGAGTCTGATAAAGGAGATCAACGAGAACACGGTGGCGCGTGGCGCGTGTCCACCCGATTCGGGCCACTTGCTGGTGCAGGTAAGTCTCTGACTTGAAAAGCTTAGCTGTAAAGTGAGTTTGCACAGTACCATTTAAAAGAATGACAGAAGTTGTAGCCACACAGAGATGACACGTGGTCCCAGGGCTGGGCCACAGCCACCACACCACGTCTGCCCCACGGGTGTGCCCAGGCAAGGCCAGTCCACAGCTTCCCTCACCGTGTATTGTCACTGCCCAGGAGAGAAAGCATTCTTGGAAGAAGGAAAACAGTTGCAGGCCATTGTGAGACTTTAACAGGTAGTTTCCAGTTTTGAAGGCAGGGTGATTGGCAGTTGGTGTCCTGACTCTGGAGCCCAAGACAGAACTGGGCTTGGCGCTGTGGCACAGTGGGCTAAGCCTCCACCTGCAGTGCCAGCATCCCATGTGGATGCCGGTTTGAGTCCGAGCTCCTCCTCTTCCAATCTAGCTCTCTACTATGTCCTGGGAAAGCAGAGGAGAATGGCTGAAGTGTTTGGGCACCCTGCACCCACGTGGGAGACCCAGAAGAAGCTCTTGGCTCCTGGCTTCACATCAGCCCAGCCCCTGCTATTGCAGCCATTTAGGGAGTAAACCAGTAGATGGAAGACCTCTCTCTCTCTCTCTCTGTCTCTTCCTCTCTAACTCTGCCTCTCGGATAAATAAATAAAATTAAAAAAAAAAAATAGGCAAGCCTTACATTGTGTGGTTTGCACATTTAAACCAAAAGAAACTGAAGGTCAGCAAGTGGACAGTCGCTGAGTGCGTAGACAGCATCCAGGCCTGGGCTCCCGGGAAGGCAGGAGACAGAAGGGGCACGCTGAATTCATTCAGAGCAGGAGGAAAAGCTTTGCTACCTGGTAGAGTTCGATTACCTTTCGTGGTTAAATTATTTTTATTGGCACTGCTCTGGTGCTCGTATTCTTTTTCAGATGAGATTTTACTCTTTAATAGCATTTTTGATGTAGCAATTCATGAGATTTGAGATGTGCTGTCAGTTAATGAGGGCTGGTTGCACAGCCCGGGTGCTCTGAGCCACTGGGAAGAGTGTGTTAAAAATTAGATTTCGGCTCTGCTTTCAGGGTGCTCAAATATTGATGATGGTTATTAATTCTGGACTTCGCAGTCTGTCCCCATTTTGTAGAAAATTGTGAAAACCTCTTTTAGTTGTGAATGATGCAAAATTCTACTGGTGTGTTGTACTTTGGTGAAGAAGATTTAAAGAACATTATTTTCGTGTTCCCACCATCATTAAATCAATCAAATCTTTCCCTCATTAAAAATAGTTATTTCTGTTTCTTTACTAGTTATATTTCCAGTTAAAATGTAGGAAAGTATAGGGCAGAGTTTAAAAATCACCTGAAATATTTCCACCCTGAGATAACACCTGAACAGAGTATTTTGTCAACCATTTATGTAAATGTGTATAATTTTATATAGTTCTTGCTTTTCAATGTAGGACCTTTTTTTTAAAGAATTATTCTATTTATTTGAAAGTCAGAGTTGTATATAGAGGGAGAGACAGAAAAAAGAATGAGATCTTCCATCTGTTGGCTCACTCCCCATGTGGCCGCAACGGCCAAGACTGGGCCAGACCAAAGCCAGGAGCTACCTTCACTGCTTTCCCAGCTCATTAGCAGGGAGCTGGATCGGAAGCGGAGCAGCCAGGACTCAACCGGCACCCACGTGGATGGAGCAGCCAGGACTCAACCGGCACCCACGTGGATGCCTGTGCCACAGGCAGAGAGGCTCTACCGGCTATGCCGTGACGCCCACCCCGGGGCGTTTTTATTTTTAATAGTTTTAATAGTCACTTTGATTTTTTCCAGCACCTTCCTTCCTTCCCATTTCTCCCCCCAGTACGTGTTCCCGCTGATGTTCAGTACCTTTTCACGTTTCTGAAAATGGAAAATTCTGTGCATTTCTCTTTCCTCATTTAACAATACGTGGTAAAAATCTTGTGAGACACCTCTGTGGACTTATTTTATTGTTTTTAATGACTCCAAGATAAGGATAGAGCTCAGGTTCTCAGCCGTTCCCACGGCGAGATATTCACTCTGCTTTAAATGTCTATGCAGCAGCCTCTGTGCTTCTTGTCTAGTGGGCAGAAGCTCTTCCCAGCCCATCAGCTGTGTGTGTGCACATACATGCACCCACAGGTGCTGTCTGGATACAAGCAGTTGGTATCCAGGAGCTTTGAGTGTTCCTGTGACCAGAAATGTATGAAACCAGGAAGCAGGACTTGTGATAAGCTGGTGGGACTGAGGGCAGCTCCCCGCACCCTGCGTTTCTCCTACATCACAGTCACACCCAAGCACCAACCCACTCCCCCTGCCTCTCCCCGTGCCCCCTCTGTCCCCTGTGTCTGAAGAACATTGTGTACAGAGCCGCTCTGCTATAAATGAAAACCTCAGCAGAGTAACATTGACAGCTAGACCCCCACTGCATCAGCCCCCGCTGAGGGCAACTTACATTTCTGTTCAGTGGATACTTCATCTTTCCAACGTCTTTCCAGCGTGTGTTCATCCTTAGAGAACTGCATCCTTTGCCTGCTTTAGCTACACCATCTTTGAAGTTGGAACTCTTCTTAAGGGCATCCCTCCGCGCCTCCCTCCCGGTCCGCTCTCCCAGAGCTCCTGCAAACCCGAATCCACTCCCTTACTCAGCCAAGCCTTCTTCCTTTTTTCAAATGCAGATCGCAGGGAGGTGGGTCATCCCACCTCATCAGGCTGGGCTTCCTTTCTTTCTTTCTTTCTTTTTTTTTTTTTTTTTTTTTTTAGACAGGCAGAGTGGACAGTGAGAGAGAGAGACAGAGAGAAAGGTCTTCCTTTGCCGTTGGTTCACCCTCCAATGGCCGCCGCGGCCGGCGCGCTGCGGCCGGCGCACCGCGCTGATCCGATGGCAGGAGCCAGGAGCCAGGTGCTTTTCCTGGTCTCCCATGGGGTGCAGGGCCCAAGCACCTGGGCCATCCTCCACTGCACTCCCTGGCCACAGCAGAGGGCTGGCCTGGAAGAGGGGCAACCGGGACAGAATCCGGCGCCCCGACCGGGACTAGAACCCGGTGTGCCGGCGCCGCTAGGCGGAGGATTAGCCTAGTGAGCCGCGGCGCCGGCCTGGGCTTCTTAACTGTTTTTAGAATTTTGGGGAAATAGGATTATTGGAGACTGGGTAATTAAACAGAAAGAAGTGGTTTTTTTTGTTTTGTGTTTAGAACTTCTGTTCACTTCTCAAATGACTGCAATGTCTGGGGCTGGGCCAGCCCGAAGCTGGGAGCCCAAAGTGCTGTCCTGGTCTCCCTTGTGCATAGCAGGGGCCCTAGCACTTAGACCATCCATCATCCACTGCCTTGCCAGGCATATTAGTGCAAGGTGTCCTGCACGTAACAAATCTTCCCAGTCAGATGAACCAATTAATTCACAAGCTTTTATTGAAATGCTTAGAAACTTGGGGTACTCATGATCTCACGTCACAGCAACCTGTTGTCGTTGGTTTCTTTTGTCCCAAGCAGAGCCGTCCTCATCATGTCTGAGACTATATGAAACTTCTTGGGTTACCACATAGGTCCTGTTCTTGACACACGTGTGGTCTCACATAGGCACAAATCCAGAACCGGGCTGTGCTTCTATTAATAGAGGGAGACGGGTTAGCCGGGGTTTGAAAACGCTGCGACTCTGGGCTTTACTGCGGCGGCTCTGTGTGTCTTCCCACACCAGCAGCAGGAAGTGAGCCATTTTGCAGTTAAGATAAAGCTCAAGGGATTTTGGTTGTGGATATTCCACGTGACTGAGAAGTAAACTGAATGCGTTTAGAGACCCATGCCAGAGAGCGGCAGATAGAACGGACAAGAGGTCGGGGTGCAGGACGCCAGCCCGTCCCGCAGCCGGCCTCCTGCCTCGGCTTTGCTTCCCTCACCTGAGAAATGAGCATCGATGCCTCCCTTGCCTGCCTTGTGGGGCGCATTAGGGAGCAAATGAGAGAACATTCACGAGATAGTGTTAAGTGGCGTGAAGTTGCTGCTCACATTATTTGCACAAAAGCACTCAGTGTAAATAAAACTGGATCTTGAGCTAGTTTTGGTTGAGGAGGCAAACCGTTAATGGTGCAGGTCTTTGTTGCTGTTGTTGTTTTAAAGATTTGTTTATGTTGAAAGTCTGAGTTACAGAGAGAGCAAGATCTTCTATCTGTTGGTTCACTCCCCACGGCCAGTGCAGGACCAGGCTCAAGCCAGGAGCCGGGAGCTTTGTCTGGGTCTCCCTTGTGGGTGGCAGGGGCCCAAACATTTGGGCCATCTTCTTCTGTTTTTCCCATGCCACTAGCAGGGAGCTGGATGGGAAGTGGAGCAACTAGGACTCGAACCGGCTCCCATATGGAATGCCGGCATCACAGGCAGTGGCTTTACCCACTATGCCACAACACCGGCCTCCATGGTATAGTTTTCAATTGCATTATATTTCAAAGATGTCTTTGAAAGCAGTTTCTTCCTTGAAGTTGGGAAAATGTTTCTCTGAAGAATGATGTCATAATTGGTGTGAGGTTCCTGTGCTGCCCCCCAAGCTGGTTTCCTTTGGGACGCACCAACACCAACACTGGATAAGATCTACGGTGGGCTGTGGGCTGTGGGCCCCGAGCCCCTCTGATCTGGAGCAGTGCTGCTGGCTGAGTGGCTACTAGCACAGAGTCTGGTGCATCCCCTAGGGGCTGAGGCCACTTGGTGGGAAGAGAGAGTCGTTGACTGGAGAAAGGAACAGGGTGCGGAGGCTTGGGTCTCCCCAGCAGCCCTCCCAGCTGGTCCCACGCCCCACCACAGGAGAGACGGCCAGGAAATGGGCTCACAGCCTGTGTTACGTCCTCAACTCCACTGCTTGGAATCCAGAAGGCCCTATGTTTTAAGACAAAAGTTTCTTGCATTTACTAAGGTTTTTCAGTTAGTTCATCAATACAGGTTGAGCATCCCTACACTGAAAATCCCAAATGTGAAACTTTCTGTGCACTGACAGGACATCACAAGTGGAAAATTCCATACC